GTGAGGAGGAGGAGGCTGAGGGGAGCCCTCATCCCTCTCTGCAGCTCCTGACAGGACATTGCAGAGAGGCCGGGGCTGGGCTCTGCTCCCAGGGGATCAGGGACAGGACAAGAGGGAATGGCTGGAAACTGCCCCAGGGGAGGGTCAGGCTGGGCAGGAGGAGAAAATGTTTCCCAGCAAGAGTGGTCCGAGAGTGGAACAGGCTGCCCGGGGAGGGGGGAGTCCCCATCCCTGGGGGGGTTTCAGGGCCGTTGGGATGAGCTGGGGGGGATGTGGGGTAGGGGAGAGCTTTGTAGAGTCGGGCTGAGGGTTGGACTCGCTGATCCCGAGGGGCTTTTCCAGCCTGAATGGTTCTGCGATTTCAGTGAAGTCTCTCTCCCCTCTATTGCTCTCTGGGCTGTGGCTACTGTAGATGCAGCTGGGCAACTAACTCAGATGGAGTAGCCACTGCGATGCAACCTCTCCTGTTGCCTTAGAGCACAGAGGGCTTCATTTCACAAAGCCTAAAGGATTTTAGCTGCCTCCTGGGGTGGGACGGAGCTGGAGATGTCAGAGATGAGCAAGAGCTTGCCTTGAGCTGGGCTGCCGAGAGCAACGTGAGTTCAGTGTGGTAGGAGGGGACAGGACGGACCATTGCTTGGGTAAGGAGGAACCTGCACATCCTGTCCCAACGGGAGGGGACTTTTGGGGGAGAAAATTGGATGCTGAAGGGAGAGGGACTTTCTTGGGGGATCTGAGCAGTCTAGCAGGGGAGCAGTGCTGCTGGTGCCAGAGTTTGGCTCTCATGGTTTCCTTGCCCAGGCTGTGACAGCGCTGGGGTTTGTTTTGGGGGCCCCGTGCCAGAGAGCGGACAAAGCCAGGTCTTTCTGTTCGGTCTGAAAGCCTGCGACTCCTGGGATTAGCTTTATCCCAGACGAAACCAGAACACCACGGCAGCCTGGGGCGGGCACCACATCCACACAGCCGCTGACCACGCTCTCCCCTTCTCCGCAGTGACCACCACCAGCCCCATGAAGACACTCTATGTCATGTCGGACGCCAAGCTCTCCGCGCTTACCAAATCTGTGATGGGTGAGGCTACCTCTGTCCCCCTCAAACTACCGGGCATCCAGCCTTCCTCCTCCTCCTCACCCGCCAGCTCTCCCACTGGTGCCGTCACCTTCGCCACCTCCCCCCTGGCCAGCACCCCCAGCCCTCCCAGCAGCCTGGTACACTCCAAGGTGGGACCTGTCCTGCAAACTGCTTCCAAGACGGTCATCCTGACCTCGACACTGGCCACGGTGAAGGGTGATGGACCCCTGGGACACATCGGGGAGAAGGTCAGCCTGACCAAGAGTGCCGCGGCCCTCGGCCACGCTCTGGGGGCAGTGGAGACCCTGGGGAGGGTTCCCTCCATGGTGGACGACGGCAGCACCATCATCCACGCCAGGGAGGCTCTGGCCAACAGACACTTGCTGCCCCAGGGTGTGCTGCCCGGAGGGGCTGGCACCACGCTCATCACACTGGGCAGCAGCTTGGCCAGTTCCTCCATCATCGCCACAGCGGGGCCCACGCTCAGCCAGAAGCCGTAGGGACCCCCGGGACCCCTGGCTGGGCACTTGGGGAGGGCTGAGCTCGGCTGTGGGGTGGGAGGAGTAGCACGGGGGGCTGGTTCAGGCTGGAGCAAACCAGGAGGGATGTTTTTCTGGGTTTTGTTGCTGTTTAATAAAACTTTTTGTTGTTCTTTACTGACTTCATTGCACATGTCCCTTCCAAAAGCAGCTTTGGTTGCAGTCCAGCCCTCGACCGCTTTTGTCGAGGGACGATTTCCCTTGTGTGGAGGCACAAAGCAGCCTTGTGCAGGCAGGGAAGGACTTGTGCTGCACAGCAACCAGGGCAGCTCCTCCTGCCTGTACCTCCCTCCTCTGGGTAGAAGTTTCAGCTGATTCCTCCCAAGTATTAAAAATATTAACTATAAAAAAAGGCCATTGAATGACTCGAGTCCAGAGAAGGGCAACGGAGCTGGGGCAGGGTCTGGAGCACAGGTCTGCTGGGGAGCGGCTGGGGGAACTGGGGGGGTTCAGCCTGGAGAAGAGGAGGCTGAGGGGAGACCTCCTGGCCCTCGGCAACTCCCTGCCAGGAGGGGGCAGAGAGGGGGGATGAGTCTCTGGAGCCAAGGCCCCAGCGCCAGGCCCCGAGGGAATGGCCTCAAGCTGCCCAGGGCAGGGTCAGGCTGGCTCTGAGGAAGGATTTCTGTGCAGAAGGGGCTGTTGGGCGTTGGAATGGGCTGCCCAGGGCAGGGGGGAGTCCCCGGGATCCCTGGGGGGGTTGAAGAGTTGGGCTGAGCCAGCGCTGAGGGGTCTGGGGGAGTTGGGAAGGGTCAGGGTGAGGGTCATGGTTGGGCTGGAGGAGCTGCAGGGGCTTTTCCAACTCAGAGGATTCTGTGATTCTATTTGGAATATTTATACATGCTGAAAAAGAAATCAACTTTCATCTGCCCTGAGCCTTGACTGAACCTT